CGGAGAATGCACAGAGAGGTTGGGGACACAGCCGGAGAATGCACTCATGTCCTGACCCACACCCGCACTCCTGCCCTTGCACGGGACAAGCATGCAGTGGAACTTGCCAGGGTGACCCTGAGTTCCAAGAAAGGGTTGGCACAGCAGGGACACATACTTTCACAGCTGAGACACCATGCAATCCAGGATGACTGGTCTGGGGTGGTCTAACAACTCGAGGAGGGGCTGTGTCCCTGTGTTCCTGCTCTGTCTCCTGTGCTGGGGACAGAGAGCCCCTGCTCTGGGAGCTTGGCCGTGACCATGAGCTCCCTGGCTCGGCCCACTGAAGCCCATCGCAAAGGGCAGAAGCAGGGCCAGGAGTCCAGGGCCCTGAGAGCCCATGGGCAGGGCCACACGGCCAGCCTGGCCCTTAGTAGGGGGCGGAGTTCTCTAAACCTCTAAACCTTCCCCTCACGTCATAAGGCGGCGAGAACAAGCCCTGGGCCTCCCAGGGTAACCGTGAGGTCAGAAAGGGCAGTCCCCACGGCGGTGCGGTGGAACAGGGGAGCCCCAGGGAGCCATCCCTTTAACTGCCATCAGAAACGGCAGCAGGCTGGCGGTCGGCCAGGACCCCGGGGAGCCGCAGGGGTCGAGGCAGGAGGAGCTGGGGGCAGGCGGAGACGGGCGGACCCTCTGCCAGGCCCGGCCACCTTCCTGTCTCCAGCCTCCCCCAAGGAGAACACAGCTGCGGACCCACCCACCTCTTCCCGCTCAACTCCTTTAAGGGAGTGGGGGGCGCTGGCCCGGTGGCTCCTTCGGGTGCCAGGCAGGTGCAAGTCCTGAATCCCTCTTCTCCAGGGAGAGGCTCACAAGGGCCCCCGGTTGGAGCCATTGCCTTCACCCTGCATGAGTAGCTTCAGGCAAGCGGCGCCCTGGAGCCCCAGAAATACAGTGTCTGCCCTGCAGGTCCCGAGCCCTGATCTCCCCTGGGACACAAGTGGCCCCCCACACCCACCTCTGCCCCGCTCCAAGGTGCATCTGTCTCGCACTCCAGGCGGTGGTCCCACTGTGGGCCACCTCTGCCCGCAGGAGCCGACGCTACCCAAACCTGCCTCTGGCTTTGTGCGTCTCATGGACGACTGTACATGTCCTCCCACCTGACCCCCACTCTGGGGAGCTTCTCAGGGGCAGTGCTGGCATCACAGGGAGCTCAGCTCAAATCCCAGCTGTGCTCTGACCCAAGGTCACTCTGACCTTCGCAGCCTCAGTGTCCTGCTCTGCGAAATGGGACTAAGCACAATACACCCCACGTGGGCCAAGGAGGAGTTAATGCAACGTCCCAGCGCAGCCCAGGCACGCAGCACATGTTAATAACGGCAACCGTCCCGAGTAGGGTCACTGTTTGCAGGGGCCAACCGCTTCTTCCCCTGCAGGGACCGCTCCCGGGCTAATGACAGAGCCCCTCTGAGACCTCTCAATGATCCCTCACCACTGAAGAACTTTCTGCCTCACACGTCCCCGTCTTGTCCCCAGACTCGTAGCTACGTACGTCCCGAGCAAGCCCCAAACTCCTTCGTCTCTGATACGGAGAAGGACTGCCCGTCACTTCTTTCCTGCTTCGCTTCAGGATCTAAATAGCCCCCGGCCCCCGCCCATCATGACCCTGTCTTACTTGTACTGAGCCCCAGATGGGCCTTTACCAGCTTAGCTACTCAGAGCCTCAGTTTCCCCGCCTGCAAAGTGGCAGCAATATACCCGACTTGTAGGCACTTGGAGCAGCGGGTGAGACAAGGCCCCAGGACAGGGAAACTGTCCTCTCTTGCCGAATCCCCCAGGAGACGTGGGTCCTGGGTGGCATGGGTCCTGGGCGGCATCGCTCCAGATGCCCACAGCACCCGGCAAAGGGCCACGCACCCCGCTGCGTCTGTGGGAGACAGCAGATCGGGTGTGAGCACAAGGCGGGGGTCGAGCTCGGTGTCGGTGCTGGTGGTGAAGGGTCTCGGGGGAAGGAGCCTCCATCCAGGGCGATCCCTGGGTCCCGGGTTGTGCCCAGAGGGTAGGAGGTCAGCCGACTGCTTGCAGCCGGCTGGGCCCCGGCAGGGGAGACCCAGGCAGGCCGTTAGAGGTATGGAGTCTTTGTAGCAAACCATGAAACCCCCCCGGGAACTGCGAATGAAGGAGTTGTTCCCTTGAAAGGAAGCTCACGTCTAGTTTCGTCCGGATGGCACAGCCATGCAGCACCCCCTCTACCCCCCACGAATCAGACGGGGCAGTCCCACCCCCAGGACATAGGGAGGAACCTTCCCGGAGACGAGACGCTCTCGGAGGGCTCCTTCTGCTGATTTATGGGTCTGAAAACTGTCAGGGGACGACCGCCGTGGCCATATCCGGAAGCCGCGGGATGGAGACGCGGAAGCCCAGAAACCAGAGGCCGCCCAGCCTCCCCTGGCCACTCCTGCCGCACGCCAGCACCCCTGCTCTCCAGGTGCATCCCAAACGCACTGGGAGCCGGCTTCACGGGGGACACCGCCTTGGCGCCCACGCGGGCTCCTCGCTGCGGACCTTGGTGCGCGCTCGGAGGCCGACACCACCTGGTCCCTGGTGACGGGGTCTGGCGAAACCAGCAGCCCAGCCCCAGCGGTCACACCGCTCCCCTGCTTTGCACCTGCCCCTGCCTGGGTCCGTAGTCACTGCCCAGCCTTCCTGCACATTTTCACTCCCTGAACCTAAAACTTGCATTTTACCCAAGTCCTCGCACGTGGGCCTCCGTCACGCCTCCCTGCCTTGTTGTCTGCCACGCCCTCCCCAGCCCTGGTGAACACAGCTCTCCCTGAACCGGGCGGAAGCCATCCCACACCC